GAGGCATCCACAATACCGACTGCACGTGTAAACCTGGAGTTCAGGATGATTCGGTCAGGAACGTCAAAAGATCTTGGGTGTCTCTAGCCCGATCCTGCAGGATTTCCATCGCCATGTCGAGGTGTTGAACTAAAAACACCAATCCAAAAAGAGAGGGTCATTTAATTAAATAAAACAATAAATTTCATAAACATAATAAATAATAATGAGAATACACTTACATCATTGACGAGCCAAGCATTCTTCGCCAGTACATCTTCGAACCACTTTTTTGCGTTCGAAACTATTGTCTCTTCGATCTGATACCTATAACTGAAAAAGTGAAATTTTACAAAATGTATAGATGATCTCATATATAAGTCAACAAATGAATAAAAATACTTACTCAGGTTTAAGGGATTTGAACCATTCATCAATCACTTTTGCTCACCGAGTGGACCTTGCAGAAAAGATTGGGGAATGTCCTATACACAAATGTCATTCTCTTCGCCTCGACCGTGAAGAGGGAGACGATGTACTGTGATGGTAATCGTGGCCTCTTATTGACCACCAAATCCAGTACGTCAGCAGCACGCTTCTTCTCCTTCCTCACATTCGTTACCCCCTCGAACACAAAGACGACATCATCAATCGTGTTTGGAGTTCTCTCTTCCTCCACCACTTCCCCGTCTATACCCCCTCCGATATCCTCATCTCCCCCTCCGACTTTTGTACCCTCTTCCCCATTCCCATCAGGACCATACCTCTCCACTATCTCCTCCACCATCTTCACCGTCACCATTGGGGCCACACACTTCGCGACCTCCTGTACCGTCTCACTTGTCACCATTGGGGCCACATCCTTCGTAGTATATGGAAAAATGACTCAAATTCAGCATCCGATGGCCACAACGAATCATCACACCCCATACCTCCTTGCCCATGAGAACTGCCAATCCCTCCGTCATTCCCTCCATCCCGATAACCGCTAATCTCTCCATCTTGATAACCACCTGTCCGTCACAGGCCTGCTATGTCACCTCGTATCACTACAACCTCAGCATGAAAATCTCCTAACCCGGCTTGTAGCATCATGACATCATCTCGTAACTCCGCCATGTTGCCTCTCATCTCTGTTAGGAGTTTGAACAAATCATCCGTCGAAGCACAGTGACTAGGTGCAGGAGGTGATATCGGACAGCCCTTCTGTAAAAATAAATATTACAAATTAAAAACTTAATTAAAAAAACCAAAACGACAATTGACAAATTATATTTAATTAACATACTCTATCTC